TATAAAGTCCAATATGCTTGACAGCAAACAATAAACTTGTCCACATTCAATTCAACATTTTTGTTGGATTCGATAGTACTTGACGATATTGAGAAATTCTTTGAAAAAAAAACTGAAAATTTGTTTATTAAATTACTATTGAGTCATTAAGTTACTTTTACCAAATAAATTTCTTGTATACTAATAGAAAAGGGAGAAATAAGGAGTCCACAAATTTTCAGTAGCATACAAAAACAAAAGTGAAATTTAAGACCTCCAACTTTGAGTTAATTGTTTCAATAATTACCCAACTTAAATATCATGGTTGCGGTTTATTCACTAAATTTTAAAGTGCTTCATAGTGCTTACTAAATTTTGTCCATTTGTACTCCATTCATCTCCTTAAAAAATTCATTACTTTTTTCCCCTGTCTTGACTAATGAAAATCTCACGTGGCAAATTACGGTCGTTAAAACAATTACACTAAGTCAAACCATTATTTCATTACTCANGTCAAACCATTATTTCATTACTCATTTAACTTATATTTGCTCACAATTTACTTATGTGAAAATGCTTCATAATGGTCACTCATCTTTGAGATGTTGTACACCATCCATCATCCGTCATATTTGATTCCCTTCGTTTCTAATGTATCGCTTGAAAATCTCACATGGCAAGTGACATCGTTAAAAAATAACAACTCAACCAAACTATCAAATCACAATATGTAAAATGCGACTTCCACGACCCCATGAACTCCTTCAAAACCCAATAAAATGTACCAATTTTCAGCCCTAAAGATCCTAGCCCCCAATTCACTCATCTCATCCACATACAGCTAAATTGTGTACTAAGACAAAGCCGATTGTTGAGAAGGATGCGAGAAGCTACTACTTATAAAGTCATATCCACCAATTGTACCATATGCTCGACGTCTCTATCATCCCAATATTCCATTTTTACATGCACGTATCTAACTATTTGAGGAAGGAAATGTCATCGAACTCCAACTATTAGTGTATTGTTGGAATACCTTTTGGGTTGTGTTTGTATTATTTGTTCTTTGTTTATCAATTTGGCTGGAGTTCGATGACATTTCCTTCGTCAAATAGTTGGATAGAAAATAGGCTCGATCTTATTACACAATTTAGCTATACGTGAATAAGATGAGTAAATTGGAGGCTAGGTTTTTTAGGGCTGAAATTGGGGACACGGAAGTCACGTTTCACATATGTTGATTTTGATGAATTGATAGTTTGATTGAGTTATAATTTTTTTTAACGACTGTAACTTACGTGTGGAATTTCCATGCAATACATTGACAGTGAAGAGAACGAAATATGACGAATGATGGATGGAGTGCATCATTTCAAAGATGAGTGATCATTGGGAACCATTTTAAATTTTGATGAGTAAAATGTGACAAGTGTAAATTGGATAAGTAATGAAATAATGATTTGGTTGAATTGTAATACTTTTAACGACTACAACTTGTCGCGTGAGGTTTTTGTTAGCCACGTTAGTGAATAAGGTAATGAATTTTTCAGGGTGACAGTTGAAATGCAAACGAACAAAGTTCAATGAGCACTTTGAAAGACTTTGAAATTTAATGAGTAACCCGTGACCATGATATATTAAAGAGTAATGCTATTCATCCCCATTGGGGTTATAAACACAGTTTAGGTGACGTTAATGTGACATTAAATGATATGTGAAATCTTTCATTTAACTTATCATTTAGAACCACCTAAACTGTATTAGTAACCTCACTGGAAATAAATAAAATTACTCTATATTAAAACATTAAACTCTCCAACTCCACTATTTTTTTTTATTTTTTCCTAGGATTTTGAATTTTATTGGATCTTGTTTTTTATTTCATTTTTACTCATCGATTTCGATAATTTATTATAACTATTAAAATATTGTGGAAATTACTCAAAACCTTACTTTTCAATATTCCATTTCCAAAATCAGATCTCAAGTTTCATCTTTCCAAAATCAGATATTTCATTTTTAAATATTAAATATCTATTATACAATTTTTATCACAAACCCTAATCAATTAACCTCCT